ACAGCTTGAAAAGCTTTTATTTTGCGACTATAACTCAATCCTACTCCCGCAACAGTACAAAGCAACCCCCCCAAACGCACGCTTGGCAGAGCAGACACTTCCGTGAGAAGATATTTTGAGAACGCTGCAAGGGCTGCCCAACCCTCACTAATCTGCAAACAAACATAAATTTTCCTCCGAAGTGACACCGGCAAGCTATAAAAGAATAATAGTAGGTAGCAATCTCCCTTCTTATTCTGCCCTGGACTGGCCGGCACGGGAAGACAAGATGATGCCAACAATAAGGCCATAAAGAGCCAACGCTTCAGCAAAGATGAGGATAAGAATCATTCCAACAAAAAGTTTAGGCTGTTGAGCATTGGCTCTGCGAGAGAGAAAAAATGTATCAGTATGAATCGCAAGTCAAGAGATTCTTCTCCCTAAGTAGCATTCTTGCAAGTGCAAAAGATATTGCAACACAATGGAAAATTCTCCTGTGTAAGTACCATGCAGCCTCCATAGAGATTTCTCATTTTGTCTTAATTTTACAGAAAAATACCAGACATTACAAAGTTTGCACAGCAAAACTAGACAACAAATCTATATAATTTAGAAAACATTGCATCATATCAAGGGAAAAACAGTTCAAAGTACAAAACCAAGTATGAAACTAGTAAAAAAAAAAAAAACTACAGGTTGAGACACATTAACCATACCAATACTGAATTAGTTAATAACAAAAATCACATATCACATATACTCTACATAAAAAGGACAGCAAACATACCTGACACCAGCATCACCAACAATGCCAATGGCCATTCCAGCAGAAAGCCCAGCAAGGCCACAAGCGAGACCGGACGAGAGATGTGCATAACCATCGAATAGGTAGTAAGACTTAGCCTTTGGGTTAATTCCAGTACTAATAATAACAGCAATAATCAACCCATAAATACCCAACACACCAGCCATAACAACTGGAACAATCGACTTCATCACCAACTCAGGCCTCATCACTCCCATCGATGCCACACCAACTCCACTCTTAGCGGTTCCATAAGCTGCTCCCATGCCTAAACAACACCAAAACTCCAATATTACACCAAAAACAAAACACACAGAAGCATTCCAACAATTCTTCCTAGAACTAAAATTTCTGCAGATCTAAGGAATTTGTTAAAAATCTAATCTTGATTAAGCAAAATGGTTCTCTAACATAAAGATTATCAAATCAATATTTAAATCAAAATGCTTTTTATCGGGTCATTAATAAATATCATTTATTGACAAGTAAGCTAATTGAAGATCCATATCAACGTAATTAACACAAACCCATTATTGATTACGCATAAGCGCGGCCAATAATCAAATTCAACGAATAATTGCTACGAATATAACATTAAACTAAAATGAAATCACTTTAGACATGTCTAACTGCATCAAGATCGATCTGATAATCATACATATAACAATTCTATTTTCCTTCATTTTCTAGGGAACCAATCAAAGAACATGATAATAAATAAAATAATTAAAAGATCGAATAAAAGTAAAAGAAATGTAATTATTTACATGAGAAGACGAGGGCAGCAGCAGCCCCAAGGAAGCCGAAGAACGGTGCAGTTTCATCGCCACTGAAAGTAGACATGATTGATAAACTGGATCTGAGACAGTGTCGTTTTAGATCTGAAGTTTGCAGATAGCTTTTTGAGAAATTAGAATTCCTTTGCTCTCTCTCCCTGATTAGAGAAGAAACGGGTGGAAGACAATCATCCATAGATATAAAACGTCGCACGTGTTAAATTGGGCTTGTTTGCTGTATAGTGGGCCGATGTTATGGGCCTACATAGGTGGAAACTACGAATAGAGCCCAGAAGCGAACGAAGTTTGACAAGCTATCAGTTAATACACTAACTTGAATTGTTTTTAGGAAATCTCTTAAATCTTCATCAAAATTAAAAAAAAAAAAAATTAATCACCCATCATGATTGATCTATCAAGTAAATCTAACAGTCAAAACATGATCACATGAAGGGCTCACAGAAGTTAACAGAACATGCAAGGTTATTACTGATAGACCAATGCTAGCTAGGTGGTGAAATAAAAATTATTTTACTTTTGAGAATTAAATTAAAACATTAGTAATAGTTGGAGGACTGACTTATAGTAGGTTAAGCATTAAAACAACTTGCCGTACCCGGAAAAAACCAATCAACAGAAGCCAAACAATAAAGAGCCAAAAAAAGGCCTTTGCTCTTGCTGTGCTCTGACTGCTACTACTATTAATTGGGGCATTGGATAGAAAAGGCCTTTGCTCTTGCTGTGCTCTGACTACTACTATTAATTGGGGCATTGGATAGGCGGAGTTTTGTTGTGGAGAAAAATGGCAATAACACTTAACAACGGATTCAAGATGCCAATTATTGGTTTGGGTGTATGGCGGATGGAAGGAAAAGAAATCAGAGACCTCATTACTAATTCTATCAAGCTTGGCTATCGTCATTTTGATTGTGCTGGTACCTCTTCCCCTTACCCGTTCTTGTTTTTGGTCACTTATTTCCTGGGCTTGTGGTTAAACCATCATAGCTTTGAAAGTGTTCTAGCATTTTTGGATTCTTGATTGGTGAAATCCACATGGGTTTGCTAATTATCAATAAAATTCTTGTCTTTGTGGAAAATGAGGAATCTTTCTTGATTTTATTGCTTCTTCTTAAGATAATTAGCATGTTTAGAAAATTTGAGACAATCGGTTGTTTGGTAAATTGTGTTTGAGGAGTTCCTTTTTTGTGGTTGCAGCTGATTACAAGAATGAAGCAGAAGTTGGGGAGGCCTTGGCTGAAGCTTTTAAAACAGGGCTTGTTAAGAGGGAGGATCTTTTTATCACTACCAAGGTTTAGTTTAATCACAGATCTTAACAACACTCACATGATTTATTATTAAGTTATTATGCACAATGGTAATTGTTTTTCCTTCCTTTCTACCTGGTTTGCAGCTATGGAATTCAGATCATGGACATGTTGTTGAGGCCTGCAAGGATAGTTTAAAGAAGCTTCAGCTTGATTATCTTGATCTTTACCTTGTGCACTTTCCTGTAGCCACAAGGCATACTGGTGCTTGCTTCTACTCACTTTTGTTTTGTCGTTTATTATATATATTTATGTGCATCAGTCTATGCCTTTTGGTTGCATGTCCATCTCCTATTATCAGTGTAGTTTGATAATCTGATTAGCTGAAGATTCGTATGATGAATATAGGAGATGGCTTGGAGTGATGATGAAGATTTATGCTTAAACTTTATCTATTTCATTGCTTGGACGGTGCACACGCTGAATAGGAATTTGTAAGGAGACTTGATGTGATCAATTTCTTGGGAAACATGGATAAAATCGTAACAAGGATTTTTAAACTTGCAGTTCTAGCTATCATAGAAATGGTTTTGTTGGCTCCACTGCACAACATACGGGGCCAAAATCAAAACAGATGGAAGAAAGGACATAAAGTGGGATCAATTAGCGAGATTAGATACACGGAAGTTAGATGGAAAAACAAGTATTTGTTTTTCCCATTTAACTTCTCTTCTTGTACTCCTGATTTACAATTTTCTACTTCAACCAGTGAAATTAGCACCAGGAAGTAGATATTCTGTTTAGTTGATTAGAAGTTTGACATAAACTATAATATTGTGTTCTGGAACTTTATGATTTGTTTGCATGCGAACAGGAGTGGGTGCGACTGGCAGTGCATTGGATGAGGATGGGGTGCTGGATATAGACACAACCATATCCCTGGAAACCACCTGGCATGCCATGGAAGATCTGGTTTCCTTGGGTTTAGCTCGCAGCATTGGAATCAGGTGAGTTGGAAGTCTAAAAGGAAAATCCTATGGATACCCGCAACCTGGAACCTTATTTTGAGTGTAACCATTCTTTTTGTCACAATTGTTTGAATCACATTAATTAGAGGATAAATAGGAAAGAACTTGCAGAAGTATCCCAATCTTTCACCTTGTCATTGGCACAGACAAGTTTACAAGTTGAATTTGTTCATATGGCTACTTTGGAATTTTGGTCTCATCGAAAGTTTACCTGCAGCAACTATGACATCTTTCTAACTAGAGATTGCTTAGCCTACTCGAAAGTGAAGCCCGCCGTGAATCAAATTGAAACTCACCCGTACTTCCAGCGTGATTCTCTTGTCAAATTCTGTCAGAAGCATGGCATCTGCGTGACTGCTCATACTCCTCTTGGAGGTGCTGTGGCCAATACTGAATGGTTTGGCACTGTATCAGTATTGGATGATCCTGTTCTGAAGGTATGTCATTTCTTTTTCAGGTGGATTATCTGTCAGCTGATTATCAATACCTGAGAGAAAACTGTTCTCTGTTGGTGCTTTTTATCATCAATCTTATCATCTCATTTGCCTTTTTTGGTCAGGGCCTGGCTGAAAAATACAAGAAAACCGTAGCCCAGATTGCTCTCCGGTGGGGCATCCAACGAAACACTGTTGTCATCCCCAAGTCATCAAAGGTCGAGAGACTTAAGGAGAATTTTGAAGTTTTCGACTTCGAGTTAAGCAAAGAGGATATGGTCCTGCTGAAAGAGTTGGACAGGAACTACAGGACCAACCAACCTGCCAAGTTTTGGGGAATAAACTTGTATGCTTGATCATGTCCATTATATCATTTGAAAATGTTCCCTTGCCTCTTAAGAATAATAGCAGCAGCATGGATGTTTTGCTTATTGTGCTTGGTTTCTGAAACTGTGAAATTGATTGACATCATGGTCAAGGGTTGATTAGTAATATGCTTCACTTTGGTAAAATGGCCTCTACCTCTATAACCTGTTTGCTTTCAAAGAAATGTTTTTAAAAAAAATTGAATTTTTTTATTTTTTATTTCAAATTATTTTATTTTTTTTAGATTGTAATGGTATCAAAAATAAAATTTTAAAAATAAAATATATTATTTTAATACATTTCTTAAAACAAGTATTTTAAAAAATGGCTTTGGTTATCAAATTATATTCAAGCAACAATTTGAATGCACAATTCATTATAGTAATTGCACCATCCAATTGGATGAGCTGTCTGCAGCCTACAGGAGCTATACGAATAGAATTCAATCGCCTCTGAAAGGACATCTGGACATAAAATAAACATCCACCAAACTAATTTGCTTCTCTAAGAAATTTTTTCCTGCCTCTTGTCAAGACATTGCTGTAGCCATCATCTTAATCACGAGATGGCAACTGCATGCAACAGTGAAAAAACGTGTTCTTTGGAGTTTAACATAAAAATGGAATAATTGCAACACGGTTGCTTGGATAATTGTCAAATTTCTGAAGATACCACCTGTGTGTTTCTGCAGCAGCAAACACCAGATTTGACACCTGCATCCAGAGCAAGATTTCAGATCTCGTGGACTAAGAGAGAAGGAAAACCACAATCAGGGAGGGGGGGGGAGACATCTTGTGAATCTTAAGAGAAACATACCACAAATCCAAAAACTAACCAAATGGTTAGGTCTGTCCCTCCACTAGCAAAAACCATGCCAGCATATATAACCTGTATCATTTGCATAAAACAAGTGAACCATCTGCACGTCAATCTCACTATGCGCATATCAGAAATGAGCTCAAGAGAGAGTCGCCGGAACTTACAATCTCTGCCAAATAGTGTGGAGATGAAACAATCTCAAACCAATCACCACGGGGAATTACATATTCATCAACCTTTCCCACGTGTTCCCTTAGTGAGCCCTAATCAACCAACACGATAGTGAAGGTAAGAATGGTAGTTAGTCTTCTAACCTGGCATCCTATTTTCACACAAATGAAATCAACAAAGATACGTGGACACTTACGGGTGCCTAGTCGACTGATAGGACCCCAGTTTATGATGATATTTGAAACAAGTTGATTTGATATATAAGATTATAGGAACAAAGAGGAGTGTTCAGAACCAGAACGCGGATGTAGTGTTTTCTACTAACTTATTCTCATGGCTAGCTGTAAAACCAAATAGACTCAAGACCGATCAAAAAAAGTGCAGCAAGTGAAAATATTAAACAGTTACATAATGCATCAAATCAAGATAAGTTGCATTGTAGAACATTCAAGATGAAAATGCGATTCATCATACAGCTAAACATTTTCACTAGTACGATACCAATAACCAAAGCTCCATGGCCAGCTGGTTTGGAGTTGCATCTCGAGCCATTAAAACAGCATTCAAGCTGTGGTATCGACACAATAACAGCAGCACAACACCAATAACTGGCTCACATATCACAGACTAGTATCAGAATAGAAGTGAATTCCCTCGTGCAAACATATAGTAATATGACTTCATTGCACTGAAAATTATCTAATTTCCACAAACTTCCTTTTGGTAGCTTCACATTGCAATGACCAACCTATCAGAATTATGCTTTTATATTAACAAGTAGTTATACTTTTTAGTGTTTTCAACGTGATCTTCTCTTGAATAGCTGAATTATAACTATTTCAACTCTCCCATCCAACACGAGGAAAAGTATCCTGTCCAGTGTCCACTATATTTATATTCATTTTCAGTAACTTAAAGCTATTAACTACCAGTTGAGAACCTCACCTTCGGTTGAGTTTACTGCAGTTCAAATATCACTTGTTAAGCTTGATGCAGTTTGGATGCCATTTGTTAAAAATTGAGTGGCAAAATTTGGTGAACTTAAATAAGAACACAATTTTACCATATTAATTATTACAAACTAGAAGTCCAAATACATTAGTTCACATAACACCCACTATAAATATATATATAACACTCAGAATACAAGCACTAGTACAAACGATTAAAGAATGCTCTCACATCCTATCTTTTATTTAGTGGCCCATAGGAGCTCTCCCTAGCTCTCTACATCACTTATTTTCTCTGCCAATCACCACACTAAAATAGAGCATGAACCTTCCTTTTTATAGCTGGTGGAGAGGCCAAATTTAACAGCGTTAAATGTTTGCTTCTACCAAAACATGCACCAAATTTCCACATCCAGATATTGTGCGGATGGTGACTTGAAAAGCTTGTCACATAAAGACAAACTTGTAATCATGCAGTGTAGGAAACATTGCCATACAAAATTTAAACCATTAGATGGCACATGAGCACTCAATTGCTAGCCAATGATTGTGGCATCTTCAACACCTTGGTCATGATATAGCTACAGGCATAACATTTTTGGCAAAGTCTACCAGAGAAGTAAACAGTTAATTCGTTTTCCTTTTCTTTTTTTTTAAGAGAAGTAATATTGCCATCTGACAAGCGATCATAAAATAGTGATACTCACAAGAATTGCATGGCAACGATGCTGATGAATCCAACCCCAAAGAAATATAACTGCGCCAATCCACTGGCACCATCCAAGCTTCAATAAAGGGTTAACAAAGTCCCACCAGTGAAATTCAATGTTTTGCATTGAGCTTGTGCCTTTAAGAATGAACTCGGACACTTCATTTATGCCAAATTTCAGTACTTCGGGTGCACAGGTACAGCAGAGTGTCAGAGGCGCTGCTGTGTAGAAGCTAAGATCAAAGGGAAATATCAATCAGCACAACATGCTAGAAAATGTCCCCATGTACAACAAATTCATGGTAAAAAAAAAGGAAGAAGATTGTAACTACAAGTGCAGTGCTTTGATCATAGACATGGATTACAATGGGATTTAAATGTTAACAAGGCTGCCTGGCAATATGTTATGAAGCATATTAACCAGCGTGAATCAGAACTTCCGAAAAGATACAAATTATACATGTTAGTGAATTATATAGACAGTTGAAATCAAGCATAAAATATTCAAGGACAAAAAATGCTTCCGACAGCAATTTGACATGGAGCGTGTGCATGTTAACACGGGGAGAAAGACTGCAGAAAAAGAATTAGATCAGAGAGCTTCAAGATACTCACAATAAGCCAGTAAGATAGCCAAAAATGTGCATCCGAGCAGAGGCGCTATAATTAAATACATATGCTGTCTCGAAAAGACGCCTCGAGACTTGAACTTCCATTAGCAAAAGCAGAAACACAGAAAGCCAAACCCTGTATCTATTCTCAAAACTCATCAACCGTGATCGATGAATTGAGAATATGTTTGATCGTCCTGCCAAGTAGCTGCCTAGATCAGAGTAGAAAAACGGCTCAGAAAGTATTGGTGTCATTCTATAAGCATATATCGATGTTCCAAGAAGCAAGAGAGTTGTCCACGCCACAGCCACCACATAGAAATGAGAAAAGAATCTTTGGGGAACAGTGAATTTCTACAATCCAAAATTGAATTAATCAGAAAATTTCATGAATCAATGACAAGGTATCGTCAAAACCACAAAATGAACATTGAGAGGAAATTTAGACACGAAACCGATAGCTATAAACCTCAACAATCCACAAGCTATCACTAAATTGAAACTACATTCATCTTAAACCGGGATCCTGTGGTATTTCTCTGTGCATTAGCAGGGGCAAACATGCAAACTATACTTTATGAATAGTATTTCCCTTTCTAATGACCAATAAAACGTAAGAAAACGATCCGACCAAACTAAACCCAACACAACTATCAATCTCACAGAGCTTAAACAGGTCCTGAAGTTCAAGAAAATAGAAAAAAACTCAGAGCTCACATGATGAGATGATGATTGCATGATCTTTCCTCTCCTTGCAAACCCCAAAACAAGTCCATGAAAAGAACCCAGCCAAGAACATGGCAGTGAAGCTATAAGTATAGGCAGTGTCCCTGCAATCCAAGCTGCTCTCAACAACTCCACAAGCCCAAGTTCCATTTTTTAACAGAAACCCGGCTAAAAATACGGAACTTTACAAGTTATGAAAAAATAATTTCTCACAGAGATAAGAGCATCGGTGGTTAAATTGCGTATTGAAGAAAGGAATCACCTTGTTCAAGATAAATTGATGCGGGGCTGACACGGTAGTGACGGGGTGGTTGGTGGCGGTTGCTTAAAGTATTTAAAAACAAATTAAAAGAATAATTTAAAATAAAATGAAAAAATTAAACTTTTTGAAATGAGTTTTATTTAAAAAAAAAATCTATTATTACAACAAAAGTTAAATGATATAAAAAAAATACAATAGTTGTTTCTCTGAGTTGTATTTGTTTTTTACATGTATTTTTTTTGTTTTTTTTTGTGATTTTTTAAAATTATTTTTATTAATATATTTTTAATATTGTAATGATTAATTAGCGTAGTTTGCGAGTTTGTCGAGATAATTCATGTTACCCTAATTTATGGATATGATGTGTTTTTTTTAATAATATAGGACAAGTACAATAACTTTTATCACAAAATACTATGAATAATTGATAAATATAATTTTAAAAAATAAAAAAATAAAATAAAAAAATAATATGAGAAGACACAATAGTAATTCCCAGTATTTCAAAAGAAAAAATTACAAAGAACATTTTTTACTGACTTAATATTAAAAAATAAAATTAATAATGATAATTTTTAAAAATATGAAAATTTTAACCACCTATATATATATATATAAAAAGTAAGATTGACAAAGATAGTTTCAAGAAAAAAACAAAAAAAATAGTGCAAAAAAATAAAAAAAAACAAAGAAATTCACCATGGATTACTATTGCGATACACAACACATTAGGTGTGTGTAAACAGTAAAAAACTAAACTCTCAATCAACTCAATACTAAAAAAATATAATTTTAAAAAATAAAATAAAAAAATATATGAAAAAACGTCGCAGCAATTCACAGTATTTAAAAAAAAAGTTACAGAGAAAAAAATTTAACAAACTCAATATGAAAAAAATAAAATTATTAAAGATAATTTTAGAAGAAAAAAAATGCACTTGTAATCCACAGTACACTAAGTGTTGGTTGATACTAAAAACTAAATTTTCAACCAGTTCATATATTTAAAAAATAAAATAGAAAAATCATGTGAAAAAACACCGTAGCAATCCATAGTATTTGAAAGAAAAAAATTATAATTTTTTTTTATTAGCTCAACATTAAAAAAGTAAAATTGACAAAGATAATTTTTTTAAAAAAAAAAAGTACTAACAAAAGTAAAAAAAAAGAAAAGAAAAAGAAAAAGAAATGCGCTATGGATTACCGTTGTAGTCCATATTAGATTGGGCGGGGATGAACAATAAAAACTAAATTATTAACCAGCTTAATATTAAAAAATAAAAACAATAAATATAATTTAAAAAAATAAAAAAATCATGTGAAAAAACACCATAGTAATCCATAATATTTTAAGGAAAAAAAATTACAATGAAAAATTTTTAATTAGTTCAATATTAAAAAAATTAAATTAATAGAGATAATTTTAAAAAATATAAAACTTTTAATCAGGTAAATAGGAAAACAAATTAACAAAGATAATTCCGGTGAAAAAAAGAAAAAAAAATGCACTATGGATTACTATTATAATCCACAGTACATTAGGTTTGAAAGAACAATAAAAACTAATTTTTCAATTAACTAAATATTTAAAAAATAAAATTAAAAAAAATAATTTTAAAAAAATAAAAAAAAAACTAGAAAAAAATACTGTAACAATCCAGAGTATTTTAAAGAAAAAATTTACAAAGAAAAATTTGTGACCAATTCAGCATTAAAAAAGTAAAATTGACAAAAATAATTTTGAAAACATAAATTTTTTAACAAGTTTAATATAAAAAAAATAAAATTAACAAAGATAATTTAAAAAAAGCAGAAAAAAAAAATAAGAAAAAAATAAGAAAAATAAAGGAATGTACTATGAATTATTATCATAATACACAGTGCATTGAGTGTGGGTAAATAATAAAAAATTAATTTTTAATCAATTTAATATTAAAAAAATAAAATTAATAAATCTAATTTTAAAAAATAAAAAAGTTAAATGAAAAAATCATGTGAGAAAATACTACTATAATCCACAATATTTTAAAGAAAAAAAATTACAAAACAAAATTTATAACCAGTTTAATATTAAAAAAATAAAATTAACAAAGATAATTTTAAAAAACATGAAATTTTTAACCAACTCAAAATAAAATAAAATAAAATTAATAAAGATAATTTTAGAAAAAATAAAATAAAAATAAACACTAAATTATTATTATAATTTACAATATAGTAAATTCCACACAACTTTTCGCGTATTACTTAATATCTCAGAACTAAAAATAGGAATAGAAGGAATCACCTTGCTCAAGAGAGATTGATGAGGGGCTGACACATTAGCAATAGCACTCGTCCAATCCATTTTCACGAGGACTGTCCAGGGTCATTTAATACTTGTTAGTTTGAGACTCTTTTGGAAACCATTTTAGGTAATTTCAGTTGTTAAATCTGTGAAAATTTAGATATTGTTTGTTTTATTTTTAAAAATGTTTTTTAATTATTATTAGTATTATTATTATTTTATTTTAAATTATTTTTCTAGTAATTTTAGATTTTTAAAATGCTAATATCAAAAATAATTTTTTTTAAAATAATAGCTACTATACTATTAAATAAGCTATTAATTTACTGGTAATTTTCATCTATTTTTTATAAAACATATCTATAGTTTGACCAGATTCTAAATGGATTCACCAAGCAAAATCAAGTTGGCTTTTTTTTTTTTTGTAAAAATAAGAGAGGCGACCTGAAGAGCTTTGGAGAGTACTCTAATAACTATAGTCATGGAATTCTAATCTGTCTTTTCTGATTTCCTTAGTTTCGATGATAATAAAAGCTCTTTTTGGTAAAATCATTGTAAAATAATTTGGTCCATGGACATGGCGAAACCAAGCTAACAATATCTTTAAAATCAAAATAACTTTTTTATAGATGTTTTATTGGGTTGAATCTATTTTTAAATTGTTGATATGTATTGTGATTTGAATAACATATCAGTTATTGATATTATAATTAGATCTTAATTTGTGTGGAACACTTACATTTGACATATATCATGCTATATTAAAATTGAAATTGAAATTGAAAAAAATAAAAGATTGTAAACAACAATTGCTATTTTCTTTATTTAGAATAATTTTTAAAATTTATTTTTTTCTACCATTTTTTCCTTCTGCATTTTTCTCTCTCATCATATTTAATTCTTATTTTTCTAAATTAATATATTTTTTAAATTGATATTATTTTTTATCATCATTTAGTTTTAAAGTAGTTGAAAATTATTTTTTCTTATTAAAGTCAAATATAATATTTTAAAAATTACGAGTTTAAAAAATTAATATAAATGTAAAAAATGCATCCATGTTTACTTATTTTTTTATATACATATTTTTTTTTAATTCAATCATTCAATGTTATTTAATTCAAAAGTGGATAAGATTTTTTATTAATTTAAAAAATAAATTAAGTATTTTTATTTATCATTTTTATTAGATTTAATTTTTTAAAAATATTTTTTAATTAAATTAGCTGTTATAAATCTAAAATACTTGTTTTATGATATTTTATTTTATTTATTTTTTGAGTCTTTGTTTCAGCGATGAAGGTAGCTCTATTGATTTTGTTGTTCAGTATTTTACAATGATGTTATAAATAAGGTTTTTTTTTTATGAAACAAGAGTATTTAAAATAAAGAGATGATGTGTTTTCAACTAGTTTTTTTTTTTTGAAGTATAATGTTGATGACTTATTTTTTATAGTTAATTATTTTTTATTTAATTTTTTATTGCTATTATTTATTATTTATTAAATTAAATGAATTTATTAAATCCAATTAAATCAGTGCTTGAGTTCCAATATTTTTACTTTTTTACAAATATTATATTAAAAAAAATTAATCCAGCTTGCGGTGTATTGGTACAAAAATCAGTCCTCACTGAAATTCTTTCCACAGGGAGAAAACTGTAATCTTGGGAAACCTAAATGGCGCTTCTATACACTGTACCAGAACGACAATGAGCCAACGCAAAAAACGACAGTTTTTGCGGTGAGTCTGGGAGAAACCCCCAGCTACGTGTCGTTTTTCTAAAATCCACGTATTAACCCAATCGGCCATTTCTCACTCCCTCTCCCAGGCCAAAAAAAAAAAACGCGAAGCTTTCTCTCTTCAAATCCATGTCACTTCTTCAATGACGTAAAACAGTAAGTTCATAAATTATTTCCTTGATCTATATGTCTCACATTAACATCCTCATGCATTTTTCGAGGTTTCCTATGCTATGTGTTCCTTATCTTGACTTTCTTTTCTGGCTCAAAAACCCTATTTTTTTGTAAATTTTATTCGAAATTGAATTTGTTTATTGAAAATTTTCTTGCTTTACTTGAATTAATTTTTTTTATTTAGATTAATAATGGGTTGTTGTTAGATTTTGAGTTATTTTTTCTGTTGCTAAGATATTGAGGTTTGTTTACTTGAACCGGGTATGTTTGAAGCTTGATTTTATTTTTTCCCCTATTCTTGGGCTTCTTAAAAGAAAAATGTGTTAGTACAACCCAAGTGTTAAGGTTACGGTTCTAATGAAGGAACTGTTACAGTTGACAAAATTATTGTGAGATCTGTCTTTATTGTGTATATGCACACGAAGACAGCCCATGTGTATTAAGGATTGATGTCCCTATAGAGTCTTGAAAACTTTATTCAAGTTTTGGATGCTTGATGCTTATTAAGTCACTGATGCTACTGTCTAACTGTTGTTCACGAGTTCATGATCTTTGAATTAAAAATGGCAGTTGCTTGTTTGTTGGCGGATATTGCAGAAAGTAACTTGATATTCGAGAAACTTATGTTACCGTACTGCATTGAGCTGGAGATGGGTTATATCTTAGTTGCTTTTTGATTTTCTGAATTTCCTCAGATCTAGGTGGAACTGGATGTATGGTGGCACTTTATTGTAATACCTCATTATATATTTGTTTCCATGTTTATGCTTAATGTTTGATCTGTTGGATTTTCACTTCTCAAAGCTGGATGCTTTCCCTGTTAACGGCCAGCTTT